GATAAGGTTAAGCTTCTTTTCTTAAGTCTATCTCGTGATAAAAAAATAAATCAATCGTATTTCTCGCTCGTATTAAAAAAACATTATACATTCTTGAATCATTAATTTTGTCTAATGTTTCCTATCTTCATTCGCGTCATTTTATTTCTAATAAAAATAAATTTTATATATAGATATACCTATACTTTTATCGATCGAAAAGCTGCCAACCTAAAAAACAGATTTAAAAAGCTTTATTTTCTCTCTCTCTCTCTCTCTCTCTCTCTCTCTCTCTTTCTCTCTCTCTTACCTTCAATTATTCAAGAAACATTTTTATTTAAATTATACTTTATATACAATTAAACCACAGTACTTAAATTCACAAATGTCTTATCAAATTCAATTTAACTAACTAACTCTAGAATTATCTAAGGAGTATCGATCCACTCCACATTAGTGATCCTTTTTACTATGTCCAAACTTCCCTCTTATCTACCACGAGCGTTAATAAATTGTCTGGGAAATTGAGATAAACGTAATTAGAACGAATTCGGCGAATCAGAGGGATGATATCGTGTTTTCACAACAAATAGAGAATGCACAAAGGAAAAGGAAGATGCACGAGGGTTGAAATGGTATACATCCTGATAGAGTTCAAGTCCATCGACCTGAAACACTTTAAGAGGAATGAATGCTTTCAGAAAGAGAGAGAGAGAGAGAGAGAGAGAGAAATGACTAGGATGAGAAAATGATATAAAGAGAGTGAAAGAGAAAGAAAAGAGACTGGAATAAGAAAAAGATAGAGAGGAAAAGATGAATAGAGGCAATTGAATCACCGGACCGGATTTTCGTTAACGAGGAAACTCTTGAAGGAAGATCTCATTTATTTTTTTTCTCTTTCTTTCACTTTCTCTCTCTCACTCTCTCTCTCACTCTCTCTCTCTCTCCCTCTTTCTCTCTCTTTTTCTCTCTTTCTCACTTTTCCTCTATTCAACGCAAAGAGTTAAGTACTCGCAATGAATTGAGAATAAACGAAATATTCGATCGTATGTTCTCATTGAATGCGAGCCGCAATTTCGTTTTGCGGTCGGATTTGTCGAACTTTCTGAAATTTGTAATGCGATTTTCCATATTCTTGAGATAAGCCAGGATCTATGTTAAAAGTATTCGACACATCTCATAAGCCGCACATGTTCACAAGCAAAGAGCAATATCCAACGAAAAGATCCCAGAAACCAGAGAATCTAGGTGGGCTTCGATACGACACAACACGCTCGTATCACCGATGACGAAAAAACTTTTAACATTTATGAAAGTTCAAAATACTATTTACAATTTCCACGTGTACTATTACGTAGCTTACTCGTATTCTATATATATACTCTATTAACAGAGGATTGCGATGGAACGTAAAGATTCTTTACGAAACTTTTATGGGAAAGCATTTTTGAAGCTATACCTTTTTTGTTTTTACGATAATGAATATGTCCCTTCGAGTTTGTGCCCGTCGAAATATTATTTATTGACATCGTAAAATTTTATGATTTGCGCCAATTTTTGTTATGCTAATTTTAAATGATTATTTCTTTTCTTTTTCGTAAGTTACACAAATCTATTTTTCAATTATATTTTATCATATAATATTATAAATAAAGAAAAGAAATTACACGCCAATATTCAATAGAAATTAATTTCAACTCAAAAATTCTTTTATAAATTACGAAAAAATAATTTTTCAAAAATAACGTTTCGTATATAGTTAATTATCTAATAAAAAAGAAAAAAAATGTATTCCATTTATTTACATATCACTCCGATTTAGAATTTAAACGATTTTTATCGTAGAATTTGAAATACTTTTCAATTATTCGTAAAAGATTCGTTCTTTTATAACCATACTCTCGAAAGAAAAGAGTTTATTGTACGATTGATTCAATATCATTGTTAGATGTCTATCGTATTCAAAGCTTTCCATATAGTTTAAGTTTACGAGAAAATCGATATCGATGTCTTCTATTTCTGGTTTACAGTATTGTCTTTGGAAGAAAAGATGATGACGTTGAACGTAATCATATTCTCCGTGTTCGCTATTCTCGAGGGAAGTGTATTGGCAATGGAGGAACCCTCTTCCTCTTCATCTACGCACACTCAACATCTCAGTCAAGCAATATCGGATCTGGTCTATGATGAACCCGCAGAAAAAAGAGCGTACACATATGTTTCCGAATTTAAGAGATTGCCGGTTTATAATTTCGGCCTTGGAAAACGATGGACCGACGCTAACGATGGCAAGGTAACATTTATCATTTACAAAATATAATTTCATTTATTATTAATCAAATCATTAATGGAATTGCAAATTATTCAATATACGCTTTAGCTTTGAGAATAGACATTCATAATTCACATAAATTCGTATATTTTCATTAACTCTATATTAAAATAAATACCTTTAAAATATTATATTGATCACATAAATTCGTATATTTTCATTAACTCTATATTAAAATAAATACCTTTAAAATATTATATTGATACAAAAAAAAAAAATCTCGTTATATCAACCCAATAAATCAGTAAAATGGTAAAATTAGAAATTCTGATTACAAAATATCATATTCATCGCTAATCAATTAATAAATAAGTACCATTTTATTATAATAATCTCTTGGGTTATAACTTTATATACCACGGATCACATGCAAATAAAGTATACTATAGAAAATATTGGATTGTTCAAAAAATTCGTACTTATATTTTTCCATCTTCGATAAGACACAAAATTCAAATGAGTCATTAAATTTAAAGAGCGAACATTTATAAAAAGAACACTGTACAATTACCTCGTTACAATATATGCAAAAAACTATAAACGTTTAGTAGATATCATATTACATACATATAATGAAAAGTTTTAATACATATGTATGTATATGCGAGTAAAGAACTGGTACGAACTTTCTGGACAATGTAATAAACTTTTTAATAAAATTCAACAAAACGATGTATAAAAAAGAATAAGAAAGTAAAGGAATAACGATTATTTTTTTTTTCTTTTTTCTATCAGCGAGGACGACCATTTTCTTTTGGACTTGGCAAGAGAATAAGACCGTACAGCTTCGGTCTCGGCAAACGGAACGACAATCAATTTGAATACCAACCATTGAGGAAGAGTCTAGATTATTTGCCTGTTGAAGCTTATGAGAGATATCTAACACGAGATAACGACGACGATCAACTATTGGATTACATTCAAGAGAAACGCGGCAATCGCTTGTACAGTTTCGGCCTTGGAAAAAGAGATTGGAATTTACAATCTGCTGACGATTCAATGCCAACTGGAAAACGGCCGAACGATGTAACCGGACAAAGATACACGTTTGGTTTGGGCAAGAGAATGCTTGAAGAAGAGGATACTGTACAATAGAGAAAACAAGTTGAGTTTTCTCGTAATCGTATCATTCGGTGACGTCACGCGCGAACATTGTTTCCCTTCTCTTTCCATCATTGATCCCCCATCTCTTCGGATTCCTGATTAATTAATTAATTAATTAATTAAAAAAAAAAAAAAAAAAAAGAAAAAAAAACAGAAAAAAATAGAAAAAAAAGAAAGAAAAAAATTCTAATCGAATAAAAAAGAAAGAAAAAATATATATATATATAAGTGAAAATAAATTAACAAATTGATTGCCCATCATCGATCCCATTTCCTTTTTTTTTTTCCTTCAATCGCTCATCATCGTTTGCGAACGCGTTAGCCTTTAAATTTTTGCTTTATATATTCAAATACATATGTACATACATAGGATAGATGTATTGGTGAATGATCATACAAAAAATAAATATATTAATGATTAAACAAGTACGATTATAAACGTGTTAAATTTATTTATTGATGATTTTTTTTCCTTTTATATATATATATATTATATATATATATATATATATATATATATATATATAAAATTTTATTAAGTAACTTTTTCTTTTTTCTTTTTTCCTTTTTTCTTTTCATCTTTTCGATTTTATGTTTCATGCGTTATAATATAATCCGTATATATATACTTGTAATATACCAATTAATTGTTTTTAGTAAGAAACATTATAATCCCACTATGATAATGTTCATTTACTAATACTCCCGTCCTATGTGTGTAGTCAAAAAACAAATTATTTTATTGAAGTTATAGTTATAGAAAGAGAGAGAGAGAGAGAGAGAGAGAAAGACAGCCGCTTGTCACTTGCAATTATTGGAAAATGAGAAAAGAAGAAGAAAGAGATGCATGCGTCCTTATTATTTTATATAATAGATCTTTAAAAAATCAGTCAAGATTGATGATCGCTCGATCATCAGATCCTATTGAATAATATGAAAATTTCTCTTCATAATTGTTCCTATTTTTTCATTTTCAAAAGTATTCGATATATATATACGTTCTTATTCTCGTTTGCAATTGTTCGTTCAAAAATATATTAAATACAATAAAGTACTTAATGCAAATATATATTGTCACCAATGTAAATGAAACTTGAGTTATAATATCAAAGAAGTTTCAATGAATTAATAAAGAATCAATTAAAAATGAATTGCGTGCATCATCTGAAATGTAAGTTAAATTAATAAAAAAGAAATCACTTTATTTTGTGTCACATATATTTCGTGAAATTTTTTTTGTTTATTAGTAATGCCAAAAAAAAATAAAAAAATAAAAAAAGAAACAAAGAGAAATATTTATCATTGTATAATTGTATTAACTTATATCTCAAGTGTCTATAATAAATCTTATAATCTTCTTTTCGTCATATTTTATTTCTTTATCTTTTATTCGACTACCATACCTTAAATTGTTTCTGATGAATGAGTTTAGATGATAAAGCTGTGTATGAAAATATTTTAAAAGTATCATTTCATCGATTGAAAGCTTTTTCGTTTGAACTGAGCGATAAAGCGATCACGCAAAGGGGCTAATAATCGACTATCTGTTACGCCCACTTTCGATATATAAAAAAACTGTTTCAATCTCTAATTCCTTTGAATCCCAAACCATTTTAACTTCTTCGTAAGACGAGAGAACCTTTTGAGTGTTACATTATCGATGATTTAAAAATGAATTGATCGTGAGAAAGAATATTTTTAAGGAAACATGAAGTGTATTATTAGGTGTTTACAAATCGTGTTTTTTCTTTCATTGAACAAATTAATCTCTGCCATTGAAAAACAATGGATAGTGGATTTCGAGTGGAACAACGAAAAAAATTGGGATCATATACCTGAAATCGATGGACACATTATTTTTCCACTCGAAACAAGACATGCCGTTGGTTTAGCTAAGTCCGTCGATTTGAAATTATCTAAAATCGACTTACCAAGAGAAGGTTCCTTAGTGTTATTCAGAAATGGTAAATTAGAGGTAAGATCTTATCTACTTTATGGTTTTATTAGAATAACATTAATCTTAAATTTATTAGAAAACAAGAAATCGTTGAATTTGATATAACCGTAAAATTTATCAGTTAGTGTTACTATTTATTATATGTATTTTATTCGAATTACGTTTTCTCAATAAATTTTATGAAAAATTAAAACAATTTGAAATATTTTAAATTAGATATAATAAGTTTTACACTCCAAATTCTTCTGCAAATCGAATTCATACTTTTGCAAATGAAATTTTACTATAAATTTTTTCCTTCAGATTGTCGTCACAATTTTTAAAATAAAAAGTAACGAAGAAACGTTTAAAAAAATATGCACTCAGAATTAAAATTTCGGAATACAGCAAACGGATAAATATGATTTGTAAAAACGTTAAATTTAAAGTGCAAAATATATAAAAACTAAATTAATCTTTGTTAACTAACTAAATAAATCTTGTGTTATCTTAATCATTTTTTGAATGTGTAATATGTAAAATATAAAAAGGGAACTATATAATAAGAATAACGTAAACGAGTTCATTTTTTCTTATTATTTCTTTGAAAAAAAGAAAAAAAAACCAAAAAAAGAATTAAGCACCTAGAAAAAGGTTTCTTATAAATACACATATGTATGAATCGGTTACCTACAATAAGAGACTATACAGAGTTTATCTATAAACAACAATTGCATGCAATATTATCGACAAAGTATAGAATGATGCATATCTTTAGGCGCTAAATTATAAAAAAAATTAAAAATTAAGAAATTAAAAAATTAAAATAGCTTGTACATTTACAAAATTCTAAATTTTTTTTTAAACAATTTTAGTTTAGCGAATCGAAAAATTCAGAAACGAAAATATCGAGATGGTTGAAGGAGGGTAAATTTTTCTGGGCTGATCCTGATAATTGGAACGGTGTTTCCAATGCAGCACCACACATGGAACGAATACCTTGTAGTCAAGATGACGTAGTTCTGCCAGGAACAGACCAAACATTTAATATACATCTACCAGTTAAAGACATTCAAGTAGAGTCCATTAGATTGTCGAATCACAAATATCCTAGTACATGGTGGGATTGGGAGGAGATGCAAAAGAAAAAAGAATTTTTAGGTGGTTTTCTTAGCGTCAAGTACGTATTTTTTTCTTCAAGATGTCAAGATTTTTCTTTTAGAATTTATTTTATCGAATAAATGTTTCTGAAAATGTTATACTTTTGTAAAGATATAGTCAATATGACTGTCAGAAATGTTTTTGTCAAGATGGCTCGCAATACGATTATTTCAAAGAGATATGTGCTATTCAAGGCCCTAAATGTGGTTTTGCAGCTTGTGAATATCCATTGAAGGTAGATATATATGTTCATTCATATCCTCTTCATTCTCTTAAGATATTCAGTATTAATTTTTAAGCCTTTAATTTGACTGAATTCTCATCAAAGAAATATTTTACAATAAACATAAAGTCATAAAAAGTGAAATTAATTACAGCAAAATATTAGAAATTTTCTCGATTCTTATATAACCTTATATTTCTTTTTCATATCTACAAACAAAATTACATTTATTATATATAATAGTACAATTATAATATATAGAATGTTACAACTTATAATTAAGTATCATTACAAATTTCGGATATAAAGCAACAATTTTGTACCTTTGAATAATACGCATAAATTAAAAGTCACGATAAAATAATAAAAATGTTCTTATTATAAATAAAAGTGTGAATGTGTGACTTTAAAGTTATATTGTCTTATACAAAATTAAATATTAAAAAATCATAAGATGATGAAATATGATAATAATGTTATTATCAAAGGAGAAACAAACAAGTATATCTCAAAATAAACATTTTTTAGATCGAAGGACATTGTTGTCTTTACTGCGGTGGTCGAATAATTATACCAAAAGGAGCTTCGTTAGCAATGATTCGATCTTTAGCTGACGAAGTTCTGGAACAACGCGCAACAAGTCTTGCATGGTATGTTAGACGAACATGGACTGATAATATAGAAATTCTTCTCAAAGAGAAGAGTGAATATACCGGTGTCGATACTTTGATAGCGCTAGAGGATCTACAAACAAAACTTCATAGTAAGTCATTCAATGTATTTTATATTTATATATACGATTTATATCGAATCAATAAATTTTTTTGTTGAAATTCTATTTTCTCGATAATGTAAATTACTTTATTAATATTTTTCAATAATTTTTGAAATATGCAATGACGAATTAATTAAATGTATTGAGTTTTCAATTTTTAGTAAAAAAGTTTAGTATGAACAAAATGAAAATATATTAATATTTCATGGAACTATTAATATGTAATGTCTACATTTTGTTTGTTACCAAAACAGATGAAAATATTGAAATATTGTATGCGGAAAATCCGGGTGCGCCATTAAAAGATTCTCGATTGGCCACGATGCTCGGTCCATTTTTCGGAGCACCCATAATCATTCTTATTCTTCTAATCACAGGCTTTTGGTACTTCGATTATTCGATTGGATAGTAAGTAGAATAAAAACCAGAAACTTAACTATTGTCAATTCAATAGTTGCTCTAGTAATTCAACAGTTAAATTAACATTGAATTCGTTTTTGTAGAAAGTTTAACTTTAATTGAACAAACTTCGAATATCTTGTTTAGTTAACGTTTCCTGCTAATCGAGAGATCCAATAAAGCGTTCAACCGCGCAAGTTCAATGTCTCTAGGGTCCGTAAAAGATGTAGAGGATGAAGGGCGACGCAAAAAAAAGAGAAGAGACAGAAGGGTAGAAAGAGAAACAGAGAAAGAAAAAGATAAAGAGAGAGAGAGAGAGAAATGTCAAGTATTTTAGTTAGCAAAGTACCGGAAATGGAAACGGACGAATAAAACGGTAGATCTCAGTCTGATTTCAGTTTCTCTCTCTCTCTCCCTCTCTCTTTCTCTCCCTCACTCTTTCTATCTCTCTCTCTTTTTCTTCCTTCTCTCTTGCTGAGAAGCTAATTTCTTCATTGCTATATTTTCTCTATCCCTCAGCTTTCTCTCTTCTACTATTTGCCACTCTTCTCTGAAGTAACCAGAGACGAAGTTTATGACATTTAATTAGTCCGACTGGGACAGACTCCGACCTTTATTTCCCATCGACGGGCACCAAGTAATTCCAGATAAACCTTATTAAATTGTCACTTCAAAGTAATCCTTTTGAAATTCTCCAAGTTGAATATTATCGAGGCATAAAATTCAAGATACTAATTGCCGATTGATTCTAATTATTAATATTATTTATACATTAGTAATTATTTTATTTAATTAATTATTTTAATTAAAGACAGTTAAATATTAGGGGGACCGGAAAGTAATATCGTTTCTGCGCATCTCGATATTTGATTGTTAAAAATTGTTAAAAATTTATTCGTTTGAATTTAATTTAAAAAAGCGACATTACTTTCCGGTCCACCTAATATCTTTTAAACGAACAATAGGATGCTGGATATATAATACTTGAAGCTACGATCGTCTTATTTTCTTTTTTAATTTCTATTATAACATTCATTATAATTCAATTCTTTCTTTCGAAATTATAATAAATTATAATTAATCGAATTTGTTTCTTGTAGTGTTCTATCTGAAATATCGGGAGCATGGTCGTCCGTTAAAGAAAAATCAAATAAGCCGTTTAGTTTCGCACGTTTTGAGAATATCCTTGAGGGTAACGTGAGAATCGAGGATCCTCAAACAAGAAGAGACGAACATGAGATGAACGAGGAACTCATTACGGAAGAGGAGGAGGTGCTGGATGAAGAGGGTACTTCTGTCGGTGGAAACTTTGAGAATCCTCTTTACAGATCAAAAAGAGACAAGAAATATAAGATAGAGGAACGAGAACTCATCAACGTCGATCTTCCATTAAGTCTGACAAGTCTGAAAAACAGAGTGAAAGATAATACAGAGGATGATGATGATATCGAGATGAATATTGAATAATAAACTTTTATCGTTCTTAATCCACGAATGAATTCTGTTCTCTCTTTTAATTCAATTTAAAATTAATTAACTATCAAAATATCAGATACGATTAATCAGATTCTATGTGTTCTAATTGTACAATATTTAAGTAAATATTTATTTTTTCGTATAAAAATGAGAGAAAGATAATGAAGTGATATGATATTTACAAGATGAACGTGACGTAACTAATATCAACCTGATTATCTCGTTTTTAAATATAAAAATACAATTTATAACGGAAATATATTAAATTCAATTGAGAAAGAAAGTTAAAAAATAATTTCAAACATATTTACAAAAGATATTAGTAAAAATATATTACTGAGCATAATCTCTATTAAAAAAGAAAAGTCAAGAATAATCAAACAATTAAGTTACGATATAATACATAATAAAGTTCGCAAAAGATATTAAATGATTAAGTTATGATATATATATATATATACAACATAAAAGTATTTGATTAAATATTACTACAATAAAATATAACTGCAAATATATATATATATATATATATATATATATATATATATATATATATATAAGAAAAGCAATAAATATAGAAGAGTTATAAATGAAAATTCAACTTATGTTGAAATA